AGCTCTTTGTTAGCAACAACATTACCATTATACTTGTTAACTTTCGTGTGACCTCCACTCTTGAATTCATTCTTCTGGAAAACGGGATTCATATTGTAAACATTGTTCTGCATCGGAGTCTTGCCCATGCCTTCCACATATTTGCCATCCAAGTTCAACATGTTGAAGTTAAGATTGTTCTCTTGGAAACTAAATTTGTCCCTTGGCCTGAACTCGGTGTAGCCTTTGGAGAGATCAAGGTTGTTCATACGTTCCCCCTTGGTTCTAGTTTGCTCAGCCAGCTTCGTTGCAACAGTGGACCATTTGTGATCCTCCGATGCTCTCGACTGACCTCGAAGCTCATCACCTAACTGCCAGAAGCTATCCATAGCTCAAAATCTACCAGAAGCAAAACACACACACAGAGATTTTTGTTACTTTATTGAACATTTACATCCATTAAGCTAAATAAACCTAACCTAAGTTCAAAGCTACGCCTAACAAATCCATATACGAAAACAAATTAAAAAAAACACATCGACAATGTTTTCACTCCCTTTCGATCATCTCACAGGAAAACCCACCAAATCGAAGCTATTCAAGAGAGAAGATCGAATTATGAACCCCCAAACCCTAATTATCAACTGAACACACAAACTTGGGTCAAATTTCAAATTCATCATCAGAAATTTTCAAAACACGATCAATTCAAACTCGTAAACTGAGAAAATCAAAGCTCGAAAATGATCGGAAGGTTTTTAGAAAATCCAAATCGAATCTCAACGGATAAACATCAAAAATCTCGGAAAAAAGAAGAAGCAAACGCTAGATTTAGGGATTGGGGAGAGAGGTGAAGATAGAAACGAAACCTTCTCTTAGCTTTTCCTGGAAATCCGGTGGATGTGAGGATGAGAAACCGAAGAAGAAGGAAAGACGTCAGAGAAGAAATGGTCCTGAATGGTTGGTTGGATCTGTAGATTTATCAGACTTTTTTAGTTACCCAAATAGCCACTCGTTTCCTTTGTTAATTACCTTGTTTTGCCATTGCCGTATGAACCACGCGTCCTCGCTTCAGTAGCTTTCAAGTTTGAAATTTTTGATCGAGTTTTCAAGATAGCTGGACTCGTTCTCGACCGTCCGATTCACTTGACAAAATTTATAAAATATCTAGAATAATTACAAACAAAATTTGTTCTTTTTAAACATAGATTGATATTTTTTTTTTGAAG